GCATAATATGGTTTTCCGGTGCTCGTCTCCGGAGAACCCCTTTGGCACAGGGGGGCGTGAGTGGACATTCTAACAGCCTTCTTGTAGGCAAGAAATCGTATGGGATATCTGATTGGTCCGTTTGCTGCAGCCAGCATACTTTCAACCAATCCCTGATGGGGAACTAGGCAGGCTGGCAATGTTTCGCGCGTTTTTCTCCCTTTTCCGCTTTCTTTCGCCGAGCTTCACATACGACAAAATAAAACCCTTCCCTCCCTCCACCATTTAACCAGTTAGTACTGGGCTTACACAATTTTAGTTAGCCCCATGTTTGGGAGTAGCCACTGAACGTTGGAGGTAACCCCTTTGAGGCTAGAGTTAGAGCTGGAGCACATCTTACATGAATGTCATTGACAAGTAAGAAGGGGATGGGGCAGATGTAGACAGGTCCAGACTGGGCGTCAGTTGTCGCATTTCTTCTGGGCTGGGTCTGTTGGGCATAATTTATACCTCAGGTGACGTGAGGTGGGATTTGGTAATCCCGACATGTACACACCTCCCTCGTGGAGGCTGGATTTTGTTCAGCCATGTTTTCTCGTGGACTGTCTGAAGTCCTCCTGGTCGACAGTTTTTCTGCAGGCTTTAATGCCAGGCATATTTTTATGCAGATATTGCTTTGCAATCTGTTTCTCGCCAGGGGGCATTTGTACTCCCAACATCTCTAGCATGCCGCTAAGTAGACCCCTCCCCAGTTCTCACAGTACACGTATACTGCTGCTCTGGGACCCCCACATTACTCGCGGGCTTGGCCTGCTCTCGGGGACCCATATCTCAGCTCTGACCACATAAAAGGCAAACTCACTAGTGCGCCGGGATGGCCTCTCTGGGCCTGTGGCCGCCAATCCCTGCATTCTAAATACAACTTGCCTCTCCCCAACTTGGGGATTCTTCCCCTTGGCCTCCTTCTGTATTTTGGAAGGACGGGGGAGGGGGCAGAAATGAGGGGGGCAGGGACACGCCCAAGGTGGAACTAGGGGGGTTAGAAAATCAGAACGACTAATTTTGTATAAAACCAATCACCAGAATCTTAATTCTAGCTAATCACCTAATATTCTGATTACTCTATATCTTGATTATAACCCTTGATCCTAAAGTTTTCATTGCCACCGTTCACTTTTGCTATATATTTTATATAACTGTAAGTGTTGTTCATATATGTGGTTTATTGTAGCTTGATAACCATTGTATTAAGACTCAGTGTAATTTATTTGGTGTAACTTGCCGCGCTTAGTATACCTGTAACTTTATGCTTAATTGCATGGTTTGGTGGTTTACAACACTCATTGTCATCGTTATTTGATTACCAAATTATTGCATTGCGGGGCCTCAACATACAGTGTAATAGTAGACAATGCAAACACGGTAATATTGTATTGGTTAATACATGTAAGATACATGGGACTGTATCATCAAGAGCAATAAACGCTCGGCGAAGGTTAGCCGAAGCTGACCACATATATCCATGTCCGTGTGCTCTCTCTCGTCCTCTCTAGGGCCAAACATGTACTCTGACCAATTTTCCTACAACCGATTTTGGCAGGAAAATATTGGTTGACCATATACTCTATAATATGACATTCTGGGTTCTATTGCTGTTACCACTAGAGGTGTTTTTTATAAATTTTTCAAAACTCTTGTCTAGATAACATTTTGGGCATAATTTCTGTATTTTTGTGTAAACATTCATCCCATTCAAGCAATTGTATGCATTCATTGTCACTGCCATAGGGACTTATAATTACTGATTTCATTCCAAAAATGTGTGGGTTTTCAACCCGAATTGGCAAAACTAAAGTAAATATACACAATTGTGGTGATGTTATTTAATGCTCTGCAATTCATTCATGTAATAACTATAAGAAACGTACATCAAAACAAACAAAATGGTACAGAGTGAAAGGTGAAAATAACATGCGCTTCTCGCACCAATGGCGGCCACGTTACATACTGAGCATGTATTGTTGTTAATTATATAGCCATGAATTTCAGTCATAGGATAATACTTCCGTGATAGGCTTTGAAAATGGAAGTATTTTTGACTTAAGTTTATGAGCACCGATGTCTTTACAACGGTTGCCATGGTAATAATAAGCACACTACAGAAGTGTATTTGGTGCCACAAAACTTCATGTTGATCAGGCAAATACAAATTTGGAGGACAATTCCACTAAAAAATTCTTCTGACCCGAACTACATGTATATAGCCAAGTCAAGTCAGAGTGAAATTCATGCAATCAAATTGATGCTGTGTTCTCTCGGAGCTTTCACTGGAGTGATCGTTGTTTTAAAGTACATGTATTTCAATATAAACAAATAAAAGTTAGTTGCTCTCTAAATCGACAGATCTTTTCCGTTTTAAAAATTATAAAATAAACGTCATTTTGTTCACTGCACCTTTTACTGTAATTCCAAAGTAGCTTGCAATATGAACAAATGTGTACACACACATGCATGTGTCCAGATCACCCTTCCCACCCCCACCCACCCCCACGACACACCCCTTCTCCTCCTCGCTTTTCGGATATTTCAAGCTGCCCCGTGTTGTAAAAAAGCCACCTTACATAATTCAGACTTTCCACAAGGCCATATGCATGTATGTAATCTCAACAAAATTGTACTTGTTGACTTGTTGGGGAGGGCGTGGTTCTCTTTGAGCTTTAGGAGTGGGGGTGGAAGGGGAAGGGGCTATCTGTGAGACGGCTGTTGGTGTAGATCGTAAAAAGTTCACTTTCAAATTGATATCTAGTATTTACAATTTAATTTTAGGCAAATACATGCAGAAATCAAAATCTGAATTTGGTGGCAAAGGAAGGCCGGGGCCTAGCTGGAAGGGGAAGGACTGGACATCATTGGAATAATGGTGTACTTCAATCAGAGGACAATGGATATGGCCATTATTATTCATTGCGGCTTGCAATCACATAAGTTTTGCCAATGTGACAATGATTGTATCGACAATGCTAAGTTATTGGTGGGTGGTCACACCCGCACCCCACCCTCAACCCCAAGCAATGCCCCCGGGAGTGGGTGAAGGGGAGGCTGTGAAAAAGAACTCTATGTAGAACTCTATGTTCACCATGTTGATCAGTTTGCGCTAAAGTTCAACTTGACATGAAGACATGACTGGAAACACCGCTAAGAAAGAGGAAATCAGTACATTGGTGGAGAGCATGACGAGGAGCCGCCAGTTAGTAGCGCTGCACTCTATAACATTACTCAGGTCAATACAACAATCAACAGCCACACAGTAGCCACAGCTGTTTGAAAATAACTGCCACTTGCAGACAATGCTTTATCAGGTCAATACAACAATCAACAGCCACACAGTAGCCACACAGTAGCCACAGCTGTTTGACAATGCCTGCCACTTGCAGACAATGCTTTATCAGGTCAATACAACAATCAACAGCTGCACAGTAGCCACACAGTAGCCACAGCTGTTTGACAATGCCAGCCACTTGCAGACAATACTTTATAAGGTCAATACAACAATCAACAGCCACACAGTAGCCACAGCTGTTTGATAATACCAGCCACTTACCAATTGCTGACAATACCAATAGGCCCCCACCCAAAAAGTTCTGCTTCCAATTACATGGCATTTGAAATCAGGGTAATAGGTAGGGGTTTTTTTTTTTGGGGGGGGTGGATTTTTTGACAGGGATCACGTTCAGTCAATACCAAACACCAACTGTGGACAGCACTTTGTCAAGTCAGTCCTTCTGATTTGAGGTGTGCGATCACACCCCCACACCATCGCACACCTAAAAGCTTCCCGGGAAGTGTGAACAATTGCATGCCTGAATTTCCCTGGACCACAGATCACACACCTAAAAAATCACACACCTAGAAAAATACACACCTAGAAAAGTCCTGGTGTGCCTTTTTCCACACGCCTGTGATTTTCATATCTGAAGGACTGCCAAGTCAAAAACAGTCAACAGCAATTTAGCACCCACAGCTGTTTTGACAGGGATCATGTTTCAAACAGTCAATACCAGCAACTTACTGACTATGACAGTACTTTAACGAGTCAATAACAGTCAGCAAATATTCATTATCAACAACTGTTCTACAGGTCACAGTTGGTCAAGTCATTCTCATGGCCAGTTACTTAAGCAGTCAAAACGAGTCAATAATGTAGTTCTATGCATAGAATTCCATCGGGTAAAAAAACAGTCACCTGACTGATTTGGACCCGAGTAACAGCATGGCTGAGTATGCATGTTTGCATCGGAGGGTTCTAATGGGCCAATTACATAAGTTTATGGATGTTGCATTTAAAGGTAAAAGATGAGCTAGTATTTTTTCTCTTTTTTTCACTGCTAGGAAAAGGGTGCTTAGGACAAATTAAGTTTCTAATAGGCACTTCCAGTTACATTATTAAGCCATTTTACATTGTTGTCAAACGAGAATATCAGTTTTCAAAATGGCTTCAAATTTATGATGTGATTAGGGTAATGTATAAACAGGGAGAGACATTTTGTGACAAATGTCCAGTCTGTATGTACATTTAAATCCTCATTATAAAATATCAAATAATTCTTCACAATGACTCTGAGTTTTCTAGGTTTTGACTGATAGCATTCCTCCAGGGTACATCTTCACAATGACTCTGAGTTTTCTAGGTTTTGACTGGGTTATCATTATTAAGAAATATCTGACAGGTAGAGCAAGAGGTGGGGGGGGGGGAGGAAATGTTCGAATTAACCCCACAAAGCAGTGCCCCACTACCAGCACTCTTTATTTGTGGGAGAACATAGAAGAGCGCCAGATCACCCATTTTGATTACTTGTTTCGGCTTATTCTTTAGGTACATGTAACTAAAAACTAACCTCAAGAATCAGTAATGGGTAGCCCAGCAAGCAGGTCATCCGTTCATCTGTCGGTCCTCCTCCCTGCTTCCGGTTCCTCAGGTTTCTGTTTGATGAGGCTGTCGGAGCCCTGACGATGTCTTGAGGCAGGCTCATCCTCATCTCAGTAGAGCAATTCCCTCATCAGTCAGTGGTCCTCACTTTGCTGAAAGGATTCAAATAACAAAAGGAAACATTTGAATTATTGAGCTGTATTTGTGCCAGGGCTCGAAAGGGGAAAGAAAATATTGAATTAACCCAACAAAGCAAAGCCCTGCTACCAGAACTCATTTGTGGACGAACATAATAACAGAGTCAGATCGCCCTATAGGCCTATACACAGCCTAATAGCAGAACAGGAAGGGGACAGACCTCATTTATCCCAGGACAAACCAATAACACCAGTAAATTAAGATGTGCTTCAAACCATGTTACAAGGCTATGATGGCATTAAGTACAAATTCTTAATTCATGGATTTACAATTGGTTTTTAGGTTTTACAGGCAATCAAAAATTTAGGACATCAACAAATTTAAAATCTGCTCTTCAAAATCCAAAAGTGGTTTCTGAAAAACTAGGGTTAGAAATTAGACAAGCTAGGCTCGCAGGGCCATTCCAAGACTTGCCACTTAATAACTTTTGCATTAGCAGGATTGGTTTAGTTTCTAAAAAACAGCCTGGTTCATTTTGAATAATTCATCATTTGTCTCATCCTAAACATGGTTCCGTAAACGATGGAATACCAGATTGCAACACAACAGTCAAGTATGCGTCAACGGAGGACACAATAAAAATTGTGAAGAAAGTGGGCCCAGGACGTGTTCTATCTAAGCTGGACATAAAGTCTGCATTCAAGATTATACCGATTCATCCAAGTGACCACAATCTGCTAGGGTTTTCATGGGATAACCAACTTTTTTATGATAAAACTCTGCCAATGGGTTGCCGATCAAGTTGTGCTATATTCAAGGAATTTAGCACAGCGATAGAATGGATAACAAATAAGGAATTGAAGCCAGCTGGCTTAGTCCATATTCTGGATGATTTTCTAATCATTTCAACATCTCATCAACAGGGTGTCGATGATTTGGTAGGATTTCAAACACTGAGTAATAGGCTGGGTATTCCCCTTGCACCAGAGAAAACTGAAGGGCCTACAACCCGGCTAACATTTGCCAGGATCGAACTAGATACAATACGGTAGCAATGGCTGCGCGGTTACCGCCGGACAAATTGCAAAAGCCATCTTAAAACCAGTCAAGAATTAGACAAAACCAAAGTAACTTTAAAGGAAATGCAGTCGATTGTTTGTTTTTTTAAATTTTGCTTGCAAAGTTGTTGTCCCGAGTCTTACATTTTTCAGGAGGTTAATAAATTTGACCATAGGTGTCAGATGCCCCTGGCACTTTATAAGGTTAACAACTCAAGTGAAGTTGGATTTACAGGCCTGGCTATTGTTTTTACGGCAATTTAATGGCAAGGCATTCTTTCTGTCAGATCAGTGGCTAACAAACCAAACCTTACATTTGTACACAGATGCCTCTGATTCATTAGGATATGGTGCAATTTTCGGTAGACGTTGGTTTTATGGGCAATGGCCAGCATCATATATAGTCTTAAGAAAATATCACACTTAAAGAATGTTATCAATTGTAGCTGCGGTTTGTGTCTGGGGAAATCACAGGTATAAAAGAATCCTAATCCATACAGACAATGAGGCGTTAGTGCACATTATTAACTCCAATACAGCTAAAGAAGTGAAAGTTATGGTTCTGGTGTGTAGCCTAGTAGTACAAAGAATGTTGTTTAATATTCAGTTTCGAGCTGTACATGTCCCTGGATGCATAAATACACTAACTGATAAACTTTCTGGTCTACAGGTGGAAGCATTCCAAAAAGCAGCCCCACAAGCGATGGAACATCCATTGTTACTACCAGTGGAAATACAACCTCAGAGTTAGTTCCAGGATTATTCAACCTACTTTCAAAATCAATGGCTGTTTGCACATGGAGAACGTACCAAAGAGCACAAATGTTGATTCAGTTTATCAATAAGTACGGCTTAAGCGCCTCATTGCCACTGCCACCAATCCTGGTAGCGCTATTTGTAACCCACTTATTCGAGGCTAACTATGCAGCTAGTGCTATTAGTGTCAACAATTAATTTAATTCACAAACTTTATAATGACAGAGCCAGGTCATGCGTTTATGGTACAAAAAGTGATCCAAGTTGTACAACTGGCCAAACCCAAGTTAGATGTAAGATTGCCTATTAAAAGGGAATAAACAACATTTGCAAACATCGACAAATAAAACTACCAAGTTTTTATGAAATACATTTCTAGGATGTTGGTAAATGACAGTCAAAAGCATCCTGTAAAATTATGGCACCTGGTGTGAAGTCATTTTCAAGAAATTTGTATTTTGTATAAATTTCCAACAGTGGTCGGTTGACCACCGTTGGAAAAACCTAACTATTTTTCAACTACTGCTCTAAATTCACCATTTTTTTCAGTCAAAATTTTGTTTGCTATTGGTTACATGTTCATGAATGAGTGCAGGCCAGCTAAACTGGTTCCCTTACCTCACAAATTTCCGGCATCTATAATTTGATCCATTTTATCTTTAGTGAAGTCAGGGGAACCAGACTACTCCACCATGTGTGTTTTTCTTCGTTTTTCCACCATTTTCCACCATTTTCGAACACAAAAACTTCAAACATGTTAGTGTAACAATATTTTATCTATCATACCCCTCAAATAGTTCATTTCTGAAAATTACAGCAAAAACCAATGATGTACATTGCCTTTAACATATTGCATAAGATGGTAGATGCATTAGAACATTGTTCACAATCATTCTATCAAATAGCGTTGTATAAGAGCTTATATTTGTTGGTGTTTGCAGCGTTTCTACGCATTGGTGAAATTACAGTATCCAATAGGAACACAGAGAATATGCTAAAAGTAGATTGCGTTCAGGTTGGAATGGATGGCCAAGGTTGAAAGATTATGTTCCGTTGTTTTAAACACTCGAATGGTTACAAATTTGTGTCACTTGACACATCTTTGGAAAATGACATCATGCAAGGTTGTCACCGGTTCCTGAATCCCCCAATTGCAAACCAAGTACAAATAAGAATGCATAGAGGGAGGGCCGGATTCACAGACATTTTCAAAAATGTGTCACTTGACACGTACAGTCGACTCCCGTTATAACGAGCTCGGTCATAACGAGCACATTCTCCCAGTCCCGATCAATTTGTGTACATTACTATGGGGAAATATTTGGTTATTACGTGCACGGACATAACGAGACTTCGGCTATTACGACGATTTTGGCTGACCCAATGCGAGGAAAAGCATTGTTCTCAACCCATTTACGACGACATCTTTTCAAAACTACGGGCATTGCAGCTTGTCAACGACAGACCTTTTGTCCCGAAACGGGTATCATGCTCCCGTCTTCCAATTCAAGCAACACACTTAAGCTTCACCCATCAATGTACCTTTGTAAAGACTTCAACCCAACGTTATTTCATCTCGCCGATCTTTTCAAATAAATTCAATGGGACTGTGATAATCGGCGCAGTGGACCGCTGGTCTAGTCGCTAATCCCCCGCTGCGGTTTCCCTTTAGCGTGAACAGGTTTGAAGTTTGCTTACGACTGCGGTACCACGTTTCTAGATTATTACAAACTAACGATAGTGGGTGCTCAGGAGTTAAGTGTTAACATTGTAAGGAATAGCCTTTAGTACTACCGCCCGAACATCGGGTGCTTAATTGCTCCCTATTGTTGGCTTGTGGCTATAAAAAAAAATACGTAGTAAAGTACACAGCATCACAAAACAAACAGCTCTTTTCAGAGCCACCACAACTTCCAAAAAGAGATAATTCAGTCTGTCTTGAAAAAATAAAGTTTAAAACATACCGTGGTTCCCGCCCCAAAAAAAGGTTAATCCGAAGAATAAAAAAATTAAAATCTTAAACAAATTAAGAACCCCTCCGGCCCCGCCGAAAAAACAATCCCAATGAAAACAGTTTTCCAAGATCTTCAAACGCCCCACCACATATACATTGTACAAATGTTAATCCGAAATTATTACTTTTGTTTATTTATTATTATTATCTTAAAAGAATCCCTCCCGACAAACAATAATCACCAATTGCTGTGAAATTACACATGGAGACACTTAAACCCAGAAGTAATATTAGCGCCCTCTCTTGCCCGATTCCAGCAAATGCAAAACGAAAGCAAAATGTCACTTGGCACGAATGTGCGCTATAGTTAACCGAAATAATTACAATTTCAAAGAATCCCTTCAGAAACAATAACACCCAACTGTTCCAAAAAGTCAACAACCAAAAGGCATCTAAGGATCAGGAGTCATTAAAACCCGGAAGTAATGCATGTATTGGCGCCCTCTCTTGCCCGATTCCAGCAAATGCAAAATGAAAGCAAAATGTCACTCGGCACGATTTGTGCGAGTGACCTACTTGCCTGATTCTTCTCAGCGATGATGCCTTTTCCTCCAGATTCAGGTCCTCAAATATTGAACAATGTTCCCTTAAAGGTATTTTATTTATTTCATTTATTCATCACCATCAGTTAAATATTAAATATACATTAATAACAGACGTACATACCAACAAATGACCATCATTTCATGTCTTCGGACGTGCGTTACATGATTAAAACATGCACGCACATGTACCGTACCTTGTGCACAACGAATGGGGAAAAATGCGCTCCGGTTTTAGCGAGGTTCCGGCTATAATGACAGTATTGTGAAAGTCCATCGGACCTCGTTATAACGGGAGCCGACTGTATTTGGAAATTGATAGCATGCGTGAAGGTTGTCAACATAGATATAGACTAATGATGTGCATCGGGTCGGGTTGACCAGGCCAAACTGACCCGAAACATTAAAGATATAAACCGAATCCGAACCGAAACAGATCTTAACTCCCTCAAACTGACCCAAGCCGAAAAATGAAGTAAAACCAACCCGAACCGACCCAACCCGATAAAAACCAAAAAAAAACAACAACAAATACCTTTTTGCTTTGACAAAATGATCACTTTTTTGTGCCTGCCCTTACCCACGTGGCATGAATTCTTTTGCAAAACCATCGTATCTCTCTGTCACACTCAGTGGGTTGATCG